GGCTTGAACAATCATTCTATGAATTATTCAAAGCCTTTTGCATATTCAGCTACACTGATGTGATGTGTGGGTGATATTTGTAGCAAGTATAAAAATACAAAGAATAACATGATCTAAGATCATTACATAGACTTCTGGTAATAAAGCCTGATTAGTGTAAACTCAGCTCAACAAAATACACTGTATGTTTTAGCATCCTACCTAGTATTTTTTAAAATATTGACTACTCATAAGTTAATATCTACCACCATATAATTTTCTCTGTTACCTCCTGATGGAAGTCTGGCCACATAGGTTAATGTTTACTCCTGAATCCTAATTATGGAGTTTATGAATCATGACTGGGAATCAGTTTTTATTCATTAACACCCGAATGTGTGACTAACATCACTATTGATAATTCTTAGTTACTGGATAAGCAGCAAAAATCATAAGCTGAGTCAGGACAAACTTGCTCAGTTATGCCATTCTTTTTATTTATTCTGGATAAAAAATAAATGCCACAACATCCATTGTGGTCATTCAAATTTTTACTTAACGTTGTACTCCCCCTAAAGATAATTTTTTCTTATGAAATAGAATTTCTAAATGTATGGTACAGACTATGTGTAATAAATGTACACATGTAACATTTTACAGAAAAAAATACTGGCAATAAATACTGAAAAATGCACAGATGATGTAATGGAATGATCTTCAAAATTATTGTAACTAGAAGCCAAAGGTATAGGAAACACAATTTGGAGAAAATATAATCTATCAGGATAAAACATACATTTTTATGCTATGGAAGACCAACTTCTGTCTTCCACGTCAGCATCATTGCAATTCATACCAATAATGAAACTCATGACTGCCCAAGGGCTTCCCCCACAGAGCATGCTTCTTTCCAATATTCACAATTCATAATAATCCTCAGAAAACACTGACAATCATAGATAATCATTGTTGCCCATTAGATTCTCTCAAAACAAGAGTGAAAAATACAAAGGAAGCATCATTACTAACCCCATTTTTCAAACTGAGGAAACTGAGACACAAGCCCATGCTATTATTTATTTATTTAGTCAGTTGTGGGGATTGAACTCAGGGCCTAGGCACTGTTTCTGAGCCTCTTTGTGTTCAAGGCTAGTACTCTAGTACTTGAGCCACAGTGCCACTTCCAGTTTTTTGAGTGGCTAATAGATCAGAGTCTCATGGAGACTTTTCTGCCCTGGCTGGCTTCAAATTGTGATTCTCATATCTTAGTCTCCTGAGTATCTTGGAATACAGGTGTGAACCACCAGCATCTGGTTCCTGCTATTACTTTCAATGTGTAGATTATAGCTGGAGAAAAGACTTCCAATTGCAATCCTGAGCTATCTGAGCTATGAAGATTCTTTACTAATAGTTATCCTCTCCAAATAAGAGATTATACTAACATTGTATGACATGATTTAGGTTTATAGGTACATATTTAATGCTTACATCTCCATTTAAAATATCAACACATTTTAGGAATGTTCTTCCATACACATTCCTCTATCAAGCTGTCTCTTAATGAAACATTCTAGAAGATGTTCTCTGATTCAGTAGCTACTCTGCTTGTCTTAGGGCCTCATGTCCCTCCTATCCCATCTGCCAAATTCCCTTGATTCAATTTCCTTGATTGAATTCTCCCTTGTTGAGGATTTGCCTATGTGCACTGGGATTTCTTCTTTAGCTAGGCCTTTGCTCTTTTTTTCTTTTCTCTTTGAATTCTATTATCAAGAAGACTATTTTTACCTTCCCTGTGACCTCATTAATGCAGGATGGTTAAGGATAAGGAGACAACAGATATCAACAAAGAGAAGTGGCTAAATCCAGCAGATCTCTTTCCTCCTCTTCGTTCTCATATTTGATCTATCATGAGAATGATAGTTATTTTTCAAGTTAAGTCTTAAAGCAAAACAAAGTCACTTTGTTTTCATCATATCCATATCATCTTTATTAGCTATGATAATATTAGCTATAATGAATTCATGAATTAAAAAAATACCTGATAAAGTCAGTTTCCACTCAACTCTTGACTGAAAATTCTTCCATAGTGTGATACCATATTACTCTCTTAATCTCAGCTATTTTTACTAAGTCAATGTATTTGTCTTATAAAATACCTTGAAATACACACACACACACACACACACACACACACACACACACACACACACACACACACACATATATACGTATATATCAGGCAAGATAGAAATATAGAAGCTACATTGTCTGTTTATGCACGAGGTAGGCTTGTCCTAAGTTATTATCTAAGATAAAATCATAATGTCAGGGTGGGTTGGGATTTTCACTAAAAACAAGAAGGAATCTAATATCCAGTTTTTGGTTAGGGGACAGTGAAAAATCTGCTAGAAGACCCTTTGACTCTCAGGCTATCTTCTTACCCTTTCTTCCCTCATTTTCTGTCATTTCTATTCTAAATGTGGTGATCTTTTCCTCTGTACTTAATCACAAGTCAGTTCCAGAAGCAGAGGAGGAATGGAAAGGAAGAATTCTCTAGATATTTTTTAAACATATGTTTATATAAATCAACTCAAGCGTTGTATATGATGCTTAACTTTTCTCCTCTTTTTTAAGAATACAAAATCTTTGCTTAAGTGCCACCTTGAAAAGTAAAAGATAAAAGAAAAATTACTGCTTTTTTCCTATATAGCAAAGACCACTTCAGAATTGTTGGACTAATCTAGTAGCAGATCACCTTTAGGGATTCCAGTGAAATCCCCTCCTGGGGATTAGGCAGCTACATAGAGGTGCTATATCACGTATGCCTGTGGAGTGTTACCTTCAATGCCTATATATTCATTTGTCACTTAGATTATGAAAATTCACCTGCTACTGCAAATACAACCTTTCTGATATAATTCAAGACATCAGAATATTAACCTGAGATATATTGCTCTTACTTTTTGACAGCCTCTGGAATATACCCTGAAAGCCAGAGGGTGGGAGACATAAGTAGACTCTTTGTGTTGTGTTGATCAAAATGTTCCTGCTGTGATAACTCTGTGTAATTTTCTTTTCACTGATCTGCACCTGAGGTGCAGCAAGCATTTGCTGCTTCAGGTTTTATCTCTGGTCTGACCTCATACCTGACTTTGCTAACTTTGTTGCACAAGAACATTTTATGTGCAAGAAACTCTAGATCACACTTGTATAGAAGTGTAGCATTATGCATTTGCAGGTAGCCCAATTAAAAGGTTAAGGAAAGCAAAAGGGAAGTTATATGGGAGTTTTCAGTGAAGTATGCATATAGATATTAAGCAAATTCATTCTGCAGCATATGACACAACCCATAAGATCAATTACAGATATTTATTTGATCAAGACATCATTAGGATGAGCTTGATAATGATACTACACATAGATCACACATATCAGACAGATTTGGAATACTCTGACCAAATTCTAATCTCTACTATGAAATTTCCCCAGGCAGCTTAGGAAAACAAACTGATATTGTGCTATTGAAACCTAAGCACCACTACAATGAGGTATAAAGTCTAATAATAAGCAGAACAGAATGGCAGTTTGTCATATCTGGAAGCTATCCACTTTCTATATAGGAAAAAATCCACTTATGATATATATTTATGACATCCTCATTTGTCCTTTTCCATCCCAATATAATTAATCATAACTTCTTAGAAATATTCTCATATATATCAAGATACATACATACATTATATTTTCCAACATCAAAAAGCTTGTACTAAAGATGGTCATCTTATTTTATCTATTTTGTAAATATCCACCCATATTTTGGGTAATTGATTTAAATCAAGAAACTAACCATGGTTTTAACTCTTCAAAGAATGAGAATTTTCTAGTTACTGTTACACTTACCACTGCCCAATAAAAAGACAAAAAGACCATTCATGCCCTGTAAAAGTAAGGCCTCCCCTTTTTCCACCTTCTAGCATAAATTCTACCTGTATTTGGACAAAATAGGCTTCTGTTCTTTCCATTCATCCATAATGGGAGACACAATTGAGAAATGGTTCTTATGTAATTCTCATCATCGCATCTGTTGCCTCTCTTAATTGTTAGTGAGACTGCATACTTTTTTTTCAGATAATTTATTCCACATTTCTCTTACACCATCAAGTCAATTTTGTTTAATCATTCGGTTACAGAATGAATCATTAAATCTACTCCTGAATGGCTTTTACTGGTCCTGATGCAAAAATCTATCTTTTGATTAGTTATTTATGAATGTGATATAGATTTACAAGACATAATTACACAATAAACTATTAAAACACTAAGAGAGTTCCAGTAAAAACAAGAAAAACACATTAAAAAGGACAAATGTTAGTGGTTACTAATACTTTAACCAGTGTTAGTCATTTTACAATGGTTGCCATTAAACTCCATATTTTGCTTTGTCACACATAAAAATGATTCTGATAATCAATTCAGCTAGATGGCTAATTTATATTACTTGTTAGTCCTTTTAATGACATGGTGATGACTTTATTAGCATGGGTAGTACAACATTTCTCAGGAATTTGGGTTTTCTTCCTGACATCATTATTATGGAAATATATCAAATTAAAAAACAAAACAAAACAAATTCACACTTCTATTCCTAAAGTATTTCCTTTCCCCACTGCGTCTCACAATGTACCCTTTAGTCTTCAGGTACCTGCTGCTGCTACTTTGGGGGATTTAGGCTTTTCGGGCTATTTGCAACCTGCTTCTTTCTGTTCTGTCCTGTAGGGAGAGTGAACTTCTCAGGAATAGAATCTGATATTTACAAGGCAAAGCATTCCAAGTTGACACGCGATCCTCACACGAAGTGAGGAGGACCTATTCATTGGAGGTACTTCAGATCTTAGGTGCGTTTCACAATAACGCGTTTCAGGTGCATGTTTAAGGTCTCGGAAGACTCTGAACCTAGGTGAAACGACTTTCTAGTTTGAGCTCCTTTCACACACACAAAAGGGTCTGAAAAGGTAACATACCTTTATGTGACAGGCGTAGCCGGGGGTAGGGGGTTTCCGCCGTGCGCCCTCCGGGCCAGCTCTGCAGCAGGTGAGCGCACAGCAGCCAGGTGAGAGTCAGACCCGGGGATGCCATGCCGTCACCCCACAGCTCTACTCCAGGCAGGTTTGAGTTTTCCTTAGGACTCCCCTCCCCGGGGAAGCGTGGCTGGCGGAAAGCTTTGTCAGAAATCAAACGCGTTGTCATCAGCAACCACCATGCCCCAGTGCCATTTGTCTGGCTGTCTTTGGACCGGTCAGACCTGGCTTTCTTCCGTCAGTTGTTTCAGAGAGGAGCCAGAGGACGTTCCTAGCACCGAGCTTTCTGAGCCATGCCCAGTCTGGAGCTGTCTTCAGGAACTCTGCCCGCAGAGTGGGGAAGGAGAGGCTGTATTTTGTTCATGCACCGGCAGGCGTTTCATTCAGAAAACAAACCCAGCACACACGCGCGCCTCTACCCCCGCCGAGCTCTCTCCTTCAGCCTCCCCCAAGCCAGCCTCCTGCACCGGCTTGCCAAACAGCTACTTTGAATTCACCTTTCCCCCTTGCTAATTAAAAACAAGGAGAGCCATTCCCTCCAGGAGTTGCGGATCCACCCAGCAGGGATGCCGTCTGTCAGAGCGCTGTGTTTACAGGAAAGTTCAGGCAGGGTTGAGCAGCTACTTGCTGTTTCTAGGAAGTATTTCTGGTCCACGTGCCCTGCCCGCGTCTCCCTCCCAGTTACAAGTTCTGGGAGCCTGGAGACCAGAACGGGTTTGGATGGTTGGGGTGGGGGGATGGGCGGGGCTGAAGGAGCCTATATAATAGTCCGATTATTTAAGATGTAAGACAGGGATGCAGCGTTTGAAAGGGCTTTAAAAGACTTATTCGCCAAGATTAAGCCTTGAATAAATACTTCATCTGTTTGTTCACATACCAGTGCCTAAATTATTTTTTTTCCCACTGTTAACACAGTCTTTTTCTATAATTAAAGCTTTTTTTTTTTCTTTTGCTTCCAGCATAGAAGTGTGACATTTAACTCTTTGGAGCAAAGTGTCTTTCAAAGAGCCTGAAAAACAACAACAACAGCAACTATGTTATCTGTAATTGCTTCTTAGATGGATTTGGCATGGAATTCTTTGCCTAGGCAACATTTTAAAATCAAGTTAAAAAACTAAATCTTCTTCCTCCCCTAGAGAATGTCATAAAGTCACTTCAACATTAAGAGAAAATACATTGTGAGTCAGTGATCTAGTTAAGGAAAGCGGTGAAGTTGAGAATAGTTCCCTGGTAAAGCTGGTATTAGAAATCTTAGGATGTGAAACATCTCAGGATCCAACTGCTGGGCAGCTTTCCAGTTTATTTTCAAGACACTCTGTTTGTGTAAATAAACTTAACACAATAGATCGACTTTGCAATCTACTTTCAATCAATCTCAAAAACTAAACCAAACAGTCTGGGGCTTCTGGAATGGAAATGAATAGTATTATTTTAAGATTAAAAAAAAACTGAGATAGATATTTGATCTGGCAGTTGAGTTACATCGCAAACAAATGGTATCAACTAGAACTTCTCTTATTCTGTACTTTAAATAGCAATGTCTACAGATAGGTTTTGGACAGGATATGCTTAAAATCATGTGATTATAAGAAAAAGATAACTCAGGTCACTCCAATATTTTACATTATATACAAACCAAAATAAAGCCAACCATCCCTTGTCCACATATCCAAGCAAGCAGAGTATATTTAACAACATGTAAATGTCATTGGCTATTATAAATAATTAGATTTCTTATGTGAAGAAAAAATACAGACTCCAGATTATTTAACATTAAAGCAACATGAATTATTTAGGAACTTTTAACCTGGGGAGGTCTCTGTAGATTCTTGCATATTTATAAAGCTTCCTTGATGAGCTACAGGCCTTATTGTGATATATTATACCTTCAAAATCACTTTTCTTTTCCTCCAGAATTGAAATAACTAGAAAATGGCAACTTTTATATTCATTGTCTAACAAGGGGATTCTGGAAAAAGTAAGCGTGGTTCTTGTTACTTTTATTATAAATTATACACTCATGAAACTGAAATTCTGCATAATATTGTGTCACTGCCTGTCTTGTTATAGAATTAGGCAATTTTCAATAGCATAACCATTTCATTAAGACAAAAAGTCAAGCTACTAAAAGTTTATGGAGGAATAAAGGCTACCAATGCCAAAATTTGTCTTCATTTTACAAAATCATTGCTCAGATTATGTTAGGGTAATTTTAAAGTACATACCAAAATATTGGATTCTTTGGGTTCTTCCAATTTTACTTTGGTTTATTTATCAGACATAATTTTCACCTTATGATCATATTGATGATCATGTGATGTCATCATCATACCCCTTTTAACTTCCTATCTGCAATAGAAAACATACAGATGTCAAAAAATGATTAATAAAAAGCTAAACATCCAGAGCTATCCTTGGCTTCAAATTCCTTTCTATGGCTGTAGCTCTGAAACAGTCTTTGGCACATTATTAGTTATGCACTTGGTAAAATAAAATAACACTAAACTTCAGAAGCAAATTCACCATATAAGTTATTATCTAATAAAACAGTTTTGATGGCAAATGAGGCTTTTATTAGTAATTACAAAGAAGCCAAATATAATACAGATAACTCAGGGTATCAGAGTCACATGACTTAGGAGAGAGTTTATTTATTTTTAGAAAACATGACAAATGGGAGAAAAACTTAAACAAACTAACAAACAAAACAAACTGAGTTATCACCAAGAATGATTGAAGAGTTTTACTGGACTGAAGTCATTTAGGATTAGCCACAATATCTAGTGATTCCACTGTTGATTTGAGAGTAGCCAAGCTATCAGTTTGAAAAATATCAGACACTGTAAAAAAAAAAAAAAAAACTAGATGAGAAGAGAAATGAAGGTATGGATTGGGAAGTCAAGTGTTTCATTCCAAAAACTTCCATTATTGTTAATCTTAATATTAGTCTTACATCATTGTGTGAAGAATGTTCTGAATCTTATAAGAGAAAAAAATAGAAAACTGATTATATATCAGCAGTCCAGCTCCTCTATTAGTTCTGTCATAGTTTCCCCAATTTGAACAGAAGGACCATGAACCTCTAGAACAATACTTCCAAGGAGTCAGCCCAGACACTCTGTTGATAAATCCTATGGGACGCTTGTTTACAAGAGCAGATTCTGATGCCCTCACCCAAGTTCTCAATTAACCTCAAATTTTATATATCAAAATTAGATATTTTATAGAGGTTCCTTTAGGCCTGTATTAGCTAAACATTAGCCACTGGTTTAGCACATATATGATTTATATTGCAATAGCATAGTATGATGAAAATTCATCTTAAATGTAAAAAAAGAGGTGAGAAGTTTGAAGTGACAGGTGGAAGTAGGGATAGTCTTCAATCTCCTCAAGAAGATCATTTTTTTTCTTCCCTTCTAGGAATATGGGAAAAATACTTATCAGCAAAATGGCAGTATGTGAAACCATGTGTGATAAATATCCTATATGGGATGAGTAGTGACTTAGGTACTCCTAAGAAATTTTTCCACCTTTCTCAAATCTTCCCAATAGAAGAAAGGAAGACATCATCTCACAATGAAATGATGAAGACTGAAACACCCTGGATGGTAGAATCAGCATATTGGGGACACTAGTCCTGTAAAGTAACCTAAACCCGTAGTGGACTTCATATGAGCAGGAACTAAAAATGTTAAGCTACTTGATTCATTTATTACTAAACCATAGCACATCTTTCCAGGATTTAATGCACCTACATTACCTGCTGTGCCTGAGAATCATGCTCTTAGATAAACACAACATCAGCAAATCCTTGACATTTTATTCCTTTCTTTAGTTCAGCAGAAATTACTAATATAGCTAGGGAGAGTTGTAGGCTAAAGAAGAGGTTAAGTATGTCAAGTGTCACTTTCAGAATGGAGTGGGGAATACCCTTGTTCTAATTGAGTACTATATGCGAAAATGATGACATGAACATTATTTATAGATGAATAATGTAGGACTACATCTCAAGAACCTTATAATTAAAGCCATTAATAGACCAAAAATATCACAATAGCAGTGGTGATGAACCTTTTTTGGAGCTAAAGATAAAATTTCGCTGTGGTAGTTATGGAATTTCAGCTTCACTAATCCATCTTCCATTCCTGTTGGCCCTGCTATTCCAAGGATGTCCAGTCTGGAGCAGCTCAAGTGTCCCATCAATAGGCCCTGCTGCTGCAGCTGCTGCCACCATTGCTGCTGCTGGGTTTTACAAGCTAAGGCTTCTGATTCTGTTATGGGCCATTCAATTCATATGCCTTAGATCATAAAATTTGTATCTGGATAAATATTACTACATTGTAGTGCATCAGGAAGTTGAAGAGAAACAGCAAATGAAATTACTCTAGAGTAGAAGCCTATTGATAATGATCCATCAGGTCCAATCCATTCACCTGCTTGGCAGAAGTTAGATGCTGTTGTGATGTCACTACCAGGATAAAATATGAAATAAAATATGCCCGGCGCCAGTGGCTTACGCCTGTAATCTTACCTATTCAGAAAGTTGAGATCTGAGGATCGCAGTTCCAAGTCAGCTGGAGCAGAAAAATCTGTGAGATTCTTATCTCCAAAAACTACTCAGAAAAAAGCATGAAGTGGGAGTGGCAGTGTGGTTCAAGTGTTCAAGTGGTAGAGCATTAGCCTTGAGCACAGAGAGGCTCAGAGTCAGAGTTTAAGTCCTAGGACTAGCAAACATAAATAAATAAATAAGTCAATAGAGAAATAAAATGTAAGATGAAATAAATAAATAAAATAAATAAATAAAACTTAATATATAAATAAATAAAACTTAATATATGTTGGTAATTACTGGTTGTACATATAGTGTTTGTAATATATTACCAGCAGTTTAAAAAATGTAATGTCATCCTTCAAACTGATTCCATCTTAATCGAATATAGTCCTTTTCTGTAAGCTATGCACCCTGAAAGGCATGTTGATAATTTAGTCAAACTCTGATAAGAATCCTATACAGTGGGAGTCATTTTTATTGCCTTACACATAAAGTGAGTCTACCACACAGATGTTCAGCAATTTGCCTGAGGTGAAGTACTAGTAAGTTGCCCAGACACACATTCCAGAATCCAGGTTCCAATAATTGCATTGTCTTTCCATAGAGTGCAAAACTGTACAACAGTTCTTTCAAATAATATGCCAGCATAAGGCTATCTTTACTACATGTTAATAATGTTCATAGCTTTATAAACAAAACAAAACAGCAACAACAAAACATTCAATGCAGTTGGTACTTAGTCAACAACTGTTATCTGAGATTGAACTCACCTGATAAAGCCCTATAAGCCAGGTTGACTCAGATCATAAAAACTGACCCTTGTAGGCTGA